GGGCGGGCCGAGCCTGTGCCAGGGCCCCGGGGCGGGCTGCCGGCCCGGCCTGCGCGGAGGAGCCTGGATGGTGGCCTCTGTGCCGTATGTGGTTGGCCAAAGCGCTGTGTGTGTGGTGCTGCTGTTTGTGGGTTCGGTGGTTGTTTTGGGTTTTTTTTTGTTTTGAAGAAACAGCTGTGGATGTGGATATAAAATCGTTTTCCAAACCCGTTAATCCGGAGTCTCTTAACACTTCTACCCAAGCCTCCAGATTACGAGTGCAGTTTAACACATGTGAACATTCAAGAAAAAAAATCTATTGAAAAGTAAGGGTGTAGTTTACCTGGCTTTGAAATCTGGAGAATCTCTTTGAAAGCAGCCTTATCATTGACTGGCATTATTGTTTCCTGACATCTTTTGCAAGTATGATATTTATCTTGATTTTTGAAAAACAGCTAAATTCTTCTTCTCCTGTATCTCCATATCCAGTCTGTACTATTGTGCCGAGTCACCCTGGGCATAACTGTCCTGTCATTTGGGCTTGGTACAGACTGGCACAACAAATGACCCAAAATTCCCTCCAGAGCACCTTGCTTTTGTAGGTCCAAGAAGCGTGATGCTGCAAATCCAGTCAGGTTTGGGCTTAACAGAAATGAAACAAAGTATGTAATGCTATCATTTCTCATACATATTTTTACTGAGAACATTCTGTGGAAAAGAAAAGGCAAAAAGGTGTACTAGAGGAAAAAAGCCTAGACTGAAGTGGTGGGAGATTCACCTTCTGCATAAGCGTGTTTTGAAGATTGTCTGCTTTTCTATGGTGAACAGAGACCACCCTGGAAATATGAAATTGGCTTCATCTGCCACAGAAGCCATGATTTTAAGACTGTATTTCCCCTGTTCCAGTTAGCCTGTTACAGGGTACTATAAAAAAAGTCTTAAATGAAAAAATCTTACCCAGAGCTTTTATAAAAGTTTTTTTTAAAAAAATTGGCTATAATTTTTCATAAGTAGACCAAGGGAGTACTTTTCATCTGAAACTAGCAGAAGAATCTGGCAACCATTTTTTGAGAACAAACCACATTGTCAGAACGTGAAACTCGATCGTTACTGACTTCAGTTTAGCAATTTCGTGTTGACCCTGCCAGACCCGGTCTGGCTCCTGTAGAGCCACTGCGTCTGCAGTAACCTTAGGTTGGAGGCAGCGCCAGACTTAAGCTGGCACTTGTTGAAAGTTAGTTTGTTTGATTTTTGCAAGGGAGGGAAGTGTTAGCTGGCTTAATTTTCTACTGGTTTAACTCCTTGAGCCAACATGGTCTTCAAGGATCACGGAAGCACAAGGGAAGGAAGCAAAACCACAGGTGTTAGCTGGGAAGGGCAGGATTGCAGCAGTACTGGCTTAGAGTTGCTTGCCCTTTCAGACTGATACCCTTAGGGTTGTGAAGCAGCTTAGCTTGGTATGGTTGCATTGATTTCTGTCCTCAGGTCTCTGCTGCTTCTCTGTCTGAAACCACAAATCTGGGGCTAGGGTAGCAAAGCTGCTTTTATAGTGACTCGTAGTCTGCCCCAGCTTACTACTCTGCACGTTGAGGTGACCCCAGATCAGTTTGCTTCGATGTACCATGATACAAATTGAACCTTCGCTGCAGCTTGGCCCTTAAATGCTGTGAAAATACAGACAACAGGAGACTTTATTTACTGCCTTACTTTTATCTCAGTGAGGAAAGGGCAACTGTTTCTGTCCTCTTTTGTTCTTTATTACCCGAGAAAATGAGGAATGTCTGGGCAGATGAGTCTAAAACAGAAGTACCAGCCGTATCTGGCAGAGAAAGCAAAAATACTCAAATCTAAATTCCTGTAGCACGTTTTTTTACTGTCTTCTAGAAAAATATGGTCCAACTAGTGACGTGTAGGCCAGGTCCAACCTGCAGGACACTCTTGTTTAAACTACTACCTTTCCTTTGGAGGAGGTGAAGATGTGTTTGCTCCCATGATAGTGGAATACTTCTATTGTGTGTGGTATGTGCACAGATGTCCATGGCAGCTCATGTCGGGGCAAAGGAAAAACAAAGGCTTTTTTCCAGTGTATATGTGTGGCACAGTACTAAGCCTGGAAGTTGTCACCTCTGTATCTTACTGAGTGCTGAACCTGCCATCCAGTCCTATAGCCAAAGGCTGGAGTGCGTAAAGATGATGAATATTTTTACTTAGACATTGTTCCATGTTTGTCTGTTCATTTATATTATCAAATTGACCAATATGTTTGCATGTGTATGTGACTCTTGTGACAATTACATGCAGGTACTTATTAAGGAAAACTACTGTATAAAAAGTGGTAGGAGCTGGAGGTTGTGGTGAGAGACGTACAGCCTAAAAAAATCAAAATTGTGAATGATTTCCTTAAAAGGAGATGCTGACATCTGAAAAACAAAGTCCTGTAATTAAGGTTTGGCTGTGTGCTTGCTCTGGTCTTAATATGCCTGAGTGCCTTGGCACAAATCTGCTGGTTGTTATATCTACAAAATGGAGAAGGCTTTTTTTGAGCAGAAGTTATGAAAATACCAAAGCAATGGAAAATAAACAAAACTTGTTGGACAGTTTATAGTCCTTCTGATCTCTTTCAGATATATATTTCATTGTCATGTGCACTGTTGTAAAATTTGCCGGGGGGGTATTTAATGTTAAAGGGCTGAACTAGACATCAAAACTTGGGATTTTTACCTTTGTAAATTGGTTTTAGAGTTTATATTTTCCTCTGACAAATCTATTCTTATGATGGAATCCTGAGAATCAAATTGAGTCTTGTTCTTGTTTACTTTTAGATGCCTGTCTTAGATGTCAAGCTGAAAACAAACAAGAAGATTGTGTTGGTATGTAGTGATTTCATTCGCTTGTTTTTCAATTGAAGCTTCTCTCACTAGGGTGCATTTGAAAGTTTGAAGGGAATACTGATTTTTATTAATGCACAAAAGTAAACTGATGTTTTGTTCTGCATTGTGTCATCTTTTTACATTAGTAATATTTTATGCTTTATTTTTGAGCACTAATAAAATTAGTTTATGCTGCAGACATGCTGTAGAACAAAACAGCTCCAAATTTGCAGTCAACACATACGCAACTGAGAGGTTTAAGTTCCTGTCACTGTGAGCATAATTGAGGAGATGGTAACGTACACTTTTGAAGTGGGTAGGAAAAGGCTACTTTTTTTCTTCCGAGATGCATGCCAGAAGACTCAATAATAATACCAATAAAAAGTTCTGAAATAAATGTGTGTCTGGGTTAGAAAGTGGTCTTTTTTTTTTTCCAGTCTTAATTCAGACACACTGGAGACAATTGCTTGTTCATTTTTCATTTGAAAAAGTGGAATCACTTGAGTTCACTATAATGCTATTTAAACATAAACATACTTTCAGTTGCATACCAATGTGTGCAAAAGCAAATGTTAACTTAATTCTGACATATTTAAATGAAAATTGTCTCAAAGAATTTGTTTTAAACCTCTAAGTCACCTTTTAAACCAGTGCCCTTCTTTCTGTTTTGAAGTATATTGTCTCAAACTTAATCCACTGTTGGTTTTGATGATTATTTTAATGAAAACAGGAATTTCCTCTTCCAGATATCTTAACTGGCTTGCTAAATGTCCTGTTTAAGATAGTCAGAGAGAAAAAAAAAAAAGGCAGCACAATTTACAATACTCCTTTGACTGGTACCCTTGTACCCATAAGGAAAATGTGAACTAATAAGGGGAAAAAGCAAAGTAACCACTACAATTCAGGAGTAGCTGGACAATAGATAACCCTTTTTGTTGTGTTGAAACAATTGTAGCTTATGAATAACTTCTGGTCTAAGATCCCATTTTGACGCTATATACTGTGTCAAATGTGCCTCCTTGATTATCATACATTTAAGTTTAAATACTGCATTTCAGGTGACAATTTGATGATACGCTCTTGTGTGATAGACAGTAGTGCATTGGCTATATTTTGGTACTGGGGAAGATAAAGTGAATAACTTAGGTAGTTGTGCTTATTTCCTGGACAGAACTGGTAAATGTGTTTATATATTCACAAAACTGTGTCACTTTATACAAGAAGGTGAGAATATATGTATTTCTTTTTTTGTAATTGGAAATAAATAACAGGATTGATGATGGAGAACTGTAATCAGAATGACCATAATAATCCAATCTCAGTGAATAAATCAGTGATGACCCATTTTGTGTCTAAAGCTCGCAGTGGTTATAAATGTCTGAGAATGATAGTTCAGACCTTGCTGGAAGTGTTGGTTGGACAGCTGAGTATGACTGGAACGTGTTCTTTCTTCTCTTTCAGTGGTTTGGGGAGAATGCAATCATTCCTTCCACAATTGCTGCATGTCCTTGTGGGTGAAACAGAATAATCGCTGTCCCCTCTGCCAGCAGGACTGGGTAGTCCAGCGAATAGGCAAATAAAAACACTGGAAGTTTGTTGGGTTTTTTTTCTGTTGAACTTGTTGAAATAGCGTATGTCTTATACAAAAGAATGGAACATGTCCATCATGGCATGATTTATTTAGCTTATCTGCTACAAGAACGGTGTGGTGGTGTTGTATGCTCTTTGCTGTACAAGGTGGCAATGGTCAGTCTTACTGCAGATATTTCCACAACTGAAAAACGAGAGACACTACATTAACACATGTATCTGTTACGATTTGAGTGTTAACTGAATCAGAGCATAGAAATGTGGTGGTGCAGATTATACCCAAAATACAGTTTATTTAATGTTTTTTTGCATAGATAAATGGATTAGTTTGAAAGGACGACCTTACCTATAAGTCTGATAGGCTGCATAGTATACTGTCGGCGTAAAGAAATTGTTTTCTAAGTAACATTGTATACAAAAACACAGTTGGTGAGGTTTTTTAGAAAGTATTCTGTTTTTTTAATCTAAAATTAGTAGCGTGTGAGGCATTTGCTATGTGCTTTTTCCATCACGCTATACTAAACATTTCTAATTTAGGTTTTCTTTATGACTTCAGAAAATTTTGTTTTGTTGTATTTCTAAATCTGTTACTGTATTATATTCTGTACAACTATACAACCATAGTGTTAAAATTTAACCACATTAATTTTTTAATTTATTTATATTTCTGTTAGAGATCATGGAGACATGTATTTTTAATCCAGAGACTTTTGGTACAAAGACACGTATTTGGTATCAGTTAACTAGTGGTGTAAACGATCTCGCTGATTAGCTGACTAATCTGTAACGCAAACAAAACTCATAATTTAAATATTGCAAGAAAGCAGGTACTAATTAAATCTAGGGGAAAATGTTAAATTGTGGTTTCATGAAAATTCAAGTTAATAGAAATTTCTTTATCATTATGGTTTTGGTTATAATGTTTTGGAAGTGGGAGAAAACATTGTTTCATTTTTGTGGAAATCCTCAATATATCATCTTTTTTATATGAATCGTGATTTTTTTTTTTTATTTTTTTTTTTCTTCCTTACAGGTATTTAAGTGCTTACCTCTGACTTTGTCTTTTCCCTAAATATCCAAAGTAATTACTGTTAATCCGGACATGTGCTGTGGATTGTTTTTTCTAATATATGTAATAGAGAGATTGAATTACTGCTTTAAGTCTGTAACAAATTCAGACTTAATAAAATGGTTAATAAACCTGGGTCAAACTGAAGCAATATTTTATGCATATCATTGATCAATTCAGAATTATCACCTTAAATGTTTACGATTAATGTATTTCTCAGCAGATGTATTTCTATCTAGTTCTGTTTATTTTAAGTATATTGAGAGGTTTATCTTCACTGTATAAAGTTGTTCCAATGGCAATCTCTGTGTCATCAAGCATACATGCAGAGTTTACTATGGTTTTGTTTAATACTTGCAATCTCGTTTTTAAAATGTTTTGAATTTTTTAAGTATAGCTTTTGTCCCATTACACACTGAGATAAAAAAAAATGTGTTACAGTGTATCACATGAGTTGTTATTATCCAAGATGATTTCTGTCTTAAGATTGAAAACAAATATAAAATAGGTTAACAATAGTAATGAAGTGCCTATAGCATTTATGTTGTTACGGAGTATTTCTGTTTATCTAAAAGGATTCTTCCTAAAATGATTGCAAAAGAAAATCTGGTTGGATGTGGAAATAATTTTAAGATACAGTTTACATAACAGCTAATCTACCACCAATTTTCTCTGCCAGAATTTGGTCCCAGGTTCCATCCTCTAAGCTCTATTAATTCCATCAGAGGACTTCTTCCTTCATTTTGCTTTGGTTTATAGGTGAACATGGAAAGTATCAAAGTGATTTTCACCCTGCTTTCGGTTCACATCACATGCATGACAAGTAGCTGAAATTATAATTGTAGAAAATTTTTTCCAAAGTGTTGGCTCGAACAGGTGTTAAAACACATGAGATATTAAGAAAGTTAATGTTCAAACCAAAGACACTGATATTTGTGTATATCGATTTGTGTATTATAAGTATCTTGTTGGCCAGTAATTAGAGGTTCACCTAGAATATAAGGTAATGAAATTTTAAGTCCTGCATATTTTCTCTGTGATTTAGAGAAGATTAGTTTAAGTCCCAGTCTTTCTGTGAGCTTTGTACCAGAGAAATTTTCTTCTCTTTCAAATCATACCCGATATTCTATTAGCGTTCTTAATAAGTACCCATTTTTAGTCCTGAATTTGTTCACCTCTTGTACACACAAAATAAATCAGTTTTGCTTCTCACTCAAACATAGTTTTGTGAGTTGGTAACACTAACTTAAATAGCCATTTTCAACTAATAGATTAATGCTGATCTACTTTTCTCCACTGTTTAATAAATGCTGGGCAAATTTGGATAATTCAGCAAATCTAGCTAGAGTCTTCTCTCAAAAGTGACTGGAGTAATGAATATGCGTCCAAAGATAATATTGTTTCACATTGTTTTTTATGAAGTTATGTTCGTTTAGTTTATGTTCTGTAGAAATCTGGAAAGATTCTAATTAACAGAGCCGAATGGTTTTTGGAGCTCTGAATGTGTCTGTCTTATGCAAATACCATAAATGTTAGATATTTTCTTGGTTTGCTTAGGCATGAATATACCAATAGCTGATGTAAGCTTGAGTTCACCCTTAGGTCCCCAATGACCAGCCATTTGTACTGCTACTGTTTACGCTGTGGTGGCATTCTTGCTAAATGTAAAAAAAAAAAACCAACCCAAAAAAACCACACACACACACACAAAAAAAAAGACCCTGCTGAATTTTAGGACCTGAAATTAAAGCTTTTGTTACGTCCTTTCTTGCCTTTCTGTACCTAGGGTATTACAGGAATATGTTGCTGTGGGCACCATTTTCAGGAAACCCACCAGCGGAATTCCGTATTTATTCCTTTGACTTTTTTCAGTTTTGCTTACTCTGCTTGCTGCATTATTTAGCCCTTTATGTAACCTTCTCCTGCCCCTACTTGCATTCACCTGGCAGAATTAGCAATTGCTGTACAAGCAGGACTTTCAAATACTCTGCTTCAGAGTACGCCGCGTTCTTGTGCACCCATAGCAGTTTGCCACAGATGGCCCTCTCAATCACAGCTAGAAAAACACTCACACCTCTAATGTAGTTTTGTAGAGTATAAACATGAGTTATATGTCAAATTGATTCAATGCAGACAGGATTAAGCATGTAAAAACAACATACTACATAGTAGTAGAGTGACAAAAAGCAGCCAAAAATGGCTTAGCACTTACTGTAGGGAGTCTGGGAGATGCCTGTTGTTACTCCTAATGTTTAGCATTTGTGATTCAGCTCTTCAACTTGCTCGAAGAGTGAAAAAAGAGAAAAGGAAACTTGACCTTGACCTCAGGAGTATAGCTTGACCCCATTGCTACCAGAAGAATCATGGAACTACTTTTCCTGTTCCCGTAATACCTTCCTTATATTTAAAGACAGTTTTAGCAGCCAAATCACACGACCCTGCAGCAGAAGGTGACTTAGCCTAGTGAGTGCCACACATGATTTTTATTCTTTTGGGAAAAAAATGGGGCACAGACTTCCTGGTAGGCAGCCAGTCAGTGAAGTCAGGTGGAATTTGCCTTCACTTGATCATAATCAGCTTTGTCCCTTTATTGATGTCACCTCAGCCATACGTTGTTGCCATCTTCTCATCCTGCCGCTTACTGTTAAAAATCTTAGCAGGGAAAATAAACTGAGGCCACAGTAACATACGGAAGTGTCTTGGCAAGACTTGGCTGGTCATTTGAAGTGGTTTTGCTTTTTCTGTGGATAGGACATGAAGTCAGAACTATATGTTGTTTTGTATATAGGGATCATTATTTTTAGACCAGCGGCAGGTCTTAGCCTCTGCGTGTAATCCTCAGACAGAGCCACACGAGGCATCAAGGTTTACATGAAGTGTCTGGAGCTCAGTCACTGATGTTGAGTTTTGGACGTATGGATGCTCAAAGCACCGAACTGCGTGATCATTTAAAGCTCAATGACGTGTTCTTCTATGTCAACTTCTGTTTCAGGCATGGCAAATTTGTGATGAAAGCTTTTTATAAAACCAGATCCCAACTTACGTAATTCAGTACTTTGGTGTGCTCTGTGTCGAGCGAGGGAGATAGGAGGCTGTCCTGTTAACTGTGGCCAGAGTGCCACTGAGTTTGGAGTGTGCGTGTATTGCAGGCGGGAATCATCTGCATGTTCTCGGAAGCGAGGGACAGAGCATATAGGCGAAATCTTGGTACACTTAAAGGTTATCAAGGCCCATTCTGAAGAACACCAGCTGAACTGCGTGCATTTGGTGCTGCCCGTGAGAAGGTTTGCCAAGGATCTCATCCCTCAGCTATACATAGCAAACTCAAAGCTCCTTACAGAGAAACCTCTTACCAGTCACTTTCCACAAATGGTGCATATACCTAAAGGTACTTAGTGAAAATCCTTGAGAGGTATTTAATGCAAAAGCAGTTAGTTGCCCTGGTGTTTTTCAGAAGCTCTCACACACCACTAGCAGGGAGACGTGCAGGGTAGCTACAACGCAGCACTTGGGCCAGTTACTCATTTTGTCTCAACCAGGCTCTGCCACCCCAAGAGCTTGCCAACATGTGTGACATGGGGGGACTTGACAACCTGATTGCCAACACAGCCTATCTGCAGGCAAGAAAGAGTGGAGATGGAGACACCAAGGAGATGCAAAAGAGACGTAGGAGCCTCTCACTGCCCAAGGTTGATCAATGCAGCGATGTTAGACAGTCCATTGTTGCTGATTATGACAGCATCTGTGAGCAGCAGCCCATTGGCAAGAAATTCTTCAGAGACTTCTTAGAAACAGTGCCAGAATACTTGGTAGCTAGGGACTTCCTGGATGAGGTGTCAAACTGCGAATTGGCAGAAGACAATGTCAAGAGCAATACCATGGAGAATATGATCACCGATTTTCTTAAGGCAGGCTCCAAAA